GTGGTCGAGGACATACTAACTAGAAGGTACTGAGACGCATAGCTCGAAATTTTCAATGATGGTGGGGGTACATGCCAAAATATATTGGCTTGGGTCCCAGGGACGTCACAACGCCAGTTAAGGGTTTTAACAGTGGTACTTAAATCAGGCTTGATATACATCACATAATATACATTAAAAGACGATTAGATTCCGGCAAGGGCTATCACGTTTTTCTCCTGAATTTAAACCAATTAAATTCAGTTTACTAGGAAGTGGAGTGCTGACACAGCTGATGGCACAACAGTCATTCATATTAAATTTATGTAAAATAGTTTTCATGTACATTTGAACTGTACCTATATGAAAACTGATCAAGACTAATTTTATTTTTGATTACCTTTCAATTTTATTACCCAAAAATAGTTTACTGTCTTTCAAATAAAACATAGAACAGTTATTTGCCAAATCCCTTTTAAACTATTCAATGTATTATTATCTGCAGTGGCAAATATACCATCTACAGAACTACATAAATAATTTTACATATTGCACCTTTGTCTAAGATATAAATACAGTGGTTAACTGATGAATTTTCAAACCCATTTTCTTTATGAACTTTTACTATTATTTCAAACCAACATCTAGTGGTTTGTTTTAGTCCATAGATACAAAACCTTACAAACTTGGTTAGGAGGTTTACTTATCACACCTTGAGCCAGCCACCCTTCAGCCTTCAGGAACCTTCATAAAAATGGCTTCCTTCAATGACCTATCCGGGAAAGCTGTTTATACATCCATATGATGTATTAAAAGGGTGAACTGATTAAAAAGGTTATTATAAACCAGAAACCTACGATTCTCGCCACCTTTGCAAAGGTTTCATTATAATCTACCAAGTAATGTTGATTAAAACCACGAGCAACTATGTGAGCTTTGTATCTAAATGGTTTTCCAATTTCATCATTGTCAATGGAAAATATCCATTCACAATCCACTATATTTTTATATTCGGGTCTTGATACTAAGGACCACGTTTTATTTACCAATAATGAGTGAATCAATATCATTTGGCAGATCTGTTTTAATCACAGATTTACTATACTCATTATTTAGTTTAATGAGTTTATTAGGGTTAACATTTACCTACTTTCCTGGATTGTTACTCATCTGATTTAGCTATATCAGATTTATTAACCAAATCATCGATCTTGACAAACTGCCACTTTCAGGGGAAAGGTTTTATTAGACTATCCAAGATGCTGTCGAACTCAAATTAAAATGTCCGCCAAGAGGAACACAAACCCTTTGTTTGCTTGTCAAAGTCACGTGTTTTGGATAGGCTAATTACCAAAGTGTTACATTCATTTTTGACACTTTTTCAGTTCAGTTCAGTTCAGTTTATTAATAACTACTGATCTTGACAAACAATCAGAGGAAACAGCTTTATCATCAATGTGTTACATTCACTTTTTCATAATCACTATTACCTACTAATATTGACTTACTCAAAACCCTGATTGAAAATCACTGGATAGTTTATTTCTATCTACCTATAAACTCAACAAGTTGCATATACACACCATTTTCTCCAAAATTTTGTCAATAGTGCAAAACAAATTTATTGGATTGCTTGCTCATCTGATTTTGCTTTATCAGATTTATTAACCAGCAATCTTGGCCAACTGTCACAGGAATCAGTTTCATCACCAAAGTGTTATGAATTCCCTTTTTCAAACTTATCATTAACTAACCACTGATATTGACAGAGAGTCAGAAAGATTGGCTCTATGACCAGAAAAGTTAAACATTTACTTTTCAAGCTTATCAGTAACCACTGATCTTAACAAACAGTCAGAGAAATCAGCTTTTACAATTAAAGTGTTCTATATTCACTTTTTTCAAGCTTGTTAGTAATTACTGATCTTGACAAATAGTCAGAGGAATCAGCTTTATGACCATAAGTGTTCTGCATTTACTTTTTCAAGTTTATGATTAACTACTGTTCTTGACAAATAGTCAGAGGAATCAGCTTTATGACCATAAGTGTTCTGCATTTACTTTTTCAAGTTTATGATTAACTACTGTTCTTGACAAATAGTCAGAGGAATCAGCTTTATAATCAAAGCGTTCTACATTCACTTTTTCAAGCTTATTATTAACTACTGATCTTGACAAATAGTCAGAGGAATCAGCTTTAAGCAGATTAAAAAAGCTTGCAGGACAAAAACAAATTTGTCATATCTACAATAATATCCTTAACTACAACAAACTTATGACTAACCACATCCCACACTTCATATTCATTTGGTTCATAACCAACCAGTACAGCTTTCCAGGATTTGATATCAAATTTTGTTTTCCTGGTTTTTATGTACCTATAAACGGTATTATGGAACCAAACACTTATGAATATTTTACTTGAGGCTTTTTACTACGCCACATTTCCTATGGTGTTTCAAATTCTTTTAAAGTTTTAGTAGGGGTCAAACTAAGTGAGAATGTTGCAGTTAAAACTGCTTCCAACTTTTTAACATCAAGACATAGAATTACAAACCCTTTCTTAAGTAAACGATTCCTCATCTGTTTATCTTACATATAAAAACTATTATAAACACATTCAGTCATCCATAGCTGCGATATAAATTAGCAAAGTATAGGCTAATAATCAAAGTTTGATTTATTAATTTTTGTTTCACTGATATAAATATCAGTTTATCCAACAGCCCCCATAGTGATTTTGGTATTGTATATAGTGGGTGTAATGGGTAGGCACAAAAATATTGAGTTCATGAGTTCCTGTTCCTAACTATTCATTTTTATATCAAACTTGTGTGTTTAATGTTTTTGTTGTTTTTGATATACCTACTTCAACAAACATTTTGAATATTTTGTTGTGTAGTATTCAAACCTGTATTTTCAATAAGTTGTTCTATTATTATTTTCCTTTCCATTTCATGATAGGTATGTTCACATCACATGAATATATCATGATGTACCAATACACTGACTTTTTTTACCTAGTTTGTCATGGACAATTTATAAACAGAGCTTAAAACCTAGTCGACACATAGGGATTAATAAGACGAATTACCTTGTACCCACCCGGTTAAGGCGAATCGCACCGGTACTGCCCACTGGCGACTGGCGGTGCCAGGAAAGGGGACAAAGTGGAATTTGCCCCCTTCCCCCAAATGCCTTTAAATTTTATTATTAATTCCAAATTGAAATAAACAAAGAATCAATTCAAGTCCTACGTAAATATTCAAATACATACATTATAATATAAGTAAAGCTCTACTATACATTCTTATCGAAATTTGTTTAACTAGCCGCATCCCCGCCATTAGAAGTCCCATAAATACCGTGGAGGAGCCGAGCTGCCGAAGATGCAAGAATTTTAATTATATGCAGGGACGATCAATGTTCCAGCGTAGAGATCCTGCAGTGAAATGGGTAGGTATCTTCCAACTGGTCCCATTTAAGTCTATGTGTCTAGTAGCCTAGTCCTATCTGTCTAATTGATTCTACTTATATTAATTTTTGCAGCCCGAGCCCCCATAGTAATTTTGAAATTCCGGCGCCTATGAACATAATATGGAACAATTTGAAAATTTAAAAAAAAATAAAATAAAATAAATATATACAGGGGAAATATTAATAGGTATAATAGGTATGTCCTTCGATGTATTTGGATTTGCAGAAGGCATTCAACACTTTAGACCACGAGATTTTGCTGTAGAAGTTGGAGGAGGCCGGTATCAGAGAAATTCCGTACTTCTGGCTCAAAAAATTAACAGACCAGAAGGCAATATAGTGACTGCAAATAATGCTTACAGCAATTTACAATTGATCAGGTGCATGGTTCCTCAAGGATCAGATCTGGGCCTCACCTTGTTTTTAATTTATGTTCATTCTATTGGTAGACTGTCATTAAGGGCTAAAATAAAATTATATGCAGACGATACAATATTGGTGTGTGATGGTAGAAGGTAGAAGTGTCGAGTCTGTTAAATCTAACATCGGTGATTTTTCCAGGATAAGTGTGTGGCTTAAGTCTAACAAATTGACAGCTAAAGTGGATAAATCATCATACATTTTAATGATAGATGCCATAACAGTGTTTGAAAGTCAGCAATTACAAAACGTTTCTGTTATAAGTTATATTGGTCTTTTTATAGATAGTATACTGTCTTGGGCAGAACCTATTGGTCAGAAAGGAGAAAAAGTCAATAATTACATTTGTTATTGTTCAAAGCGTCCATGGTTATTATACTAGGAAAATTATTGACCGTTATTGACATATATTTGCCAAAAGTGAAATCAGGTATATCATAAAGGTCTGAAATCTATTTATCATAAAGGTGTGAAATTATACAATAGCCTTAGTGGCCATAAGAAATATTGATAGGCAAACTTTGTTTAGAAGAAGGTTGAAGGAATTTGTAATGCGAGAATTGTAAGATGTGACGTAACATACGGCGATCAAGCGTGGATCTTTACAAAGGAAAATTATCTACAAAATTAAAGAGCAATTCAAAGATAAGTGCCAAACATCAAACTAGCAAAATGGAAGAGAAATAGATTAATTCATAATAGAACAAAAGTTAAAGATGCTTTTGTGCAAGCAGCGAGACTAAATAATGAATGTTCGCTAGACATACCTTAAGACAAAAAGGCGACGGATGGTACATGGTATACCTACATTGGAGACCATGGTATTAATCGTTGAGAAAAATGAAGATTATTAATGCAATAATCAGATGATTTAAAGAAACATATACTGGACAGATTGGAACAGATCAATAAAGGGGAAGCCTATGTCCAAAGTTGAAAGTTCGAGACTGAAAGATAAAGAATAGGTAACAATTCTGGGGCAAGATGAGATGTAGTAGGTACCTAACTACCATTCGATTCGCTAATAAGCTAAGCAAGAAGCAATACAGGTTGCTTCTTCCATTAGGCTTTGAACATACGTTAGCTGTAAAAAAAAGCTCACAAATGTATTTAAAATAAGAACCAATAAAAATAATGATTGCACGTTTTTATTTTCTAAATTTTATAATACTCAATTAATATTTTAAATACAATAATATATAGCTTGCGTGCGAAGGTGCTATAAGAATATAAATATTAAATATTGCAGCTCCAGGCAAAACTTAAAAAAGCGTTTTTCAAAATGCATTGATTGAATTGATAGAACACTGACTTCTAAAGGAACTAAAACGCTTTTTCTATAGTTAACTACCAAAAAGCCACTGTCATTTACAACTTAATAAAAGGAGGGTACTAGACACAACATCATCACATAATCACTGGTGCAAATTAATTGCACTCTACCTACACAGCTACTAGCTAAATAATACTATGAAATCTCCTAAACATCTACAGATCATTTAAGTATATAAATAATAAATCAAAATATATTACACAAAAACAAATTTTACACAAATACAACCTAAATGAGCCTTTGTTTTATAAGATCGACTATTTAGCTCAGGCTCGGTGCCTTCATTTTGTTAATGGCATTGGCCAAATGAAGTACTTCGGTGTTGAGTTGCTGCACCAAACTCTCCATTTTTTCCACGGAATCCAACACTTCGACTCTGCCGGTGTGCGGGTTGAACCTGACCTCGAAAGGTCTGGACATGGAGCTCACCCAACGTCTGAATTTGTCTTTCATGTCGTCGAAGCTTTCAGCTACGTAATAAAGAGGTTGGTACTCTTGGTCTTGGTAAGTTTGTACGGCTGTGGAGGCGGGATCGAAAGGTCTGTGTTCAGGTTTGTCGGAAAGAGCGTGCAACAATTCGCCGTAGGCTGAAAGAAGACCGGCGCCGTAGACTTTGGTTTCACCGCCTTCCTTGCAAAGACCGAATTCGACAGTGAACCAGTAAACCTATAATAAAAAAAAAACAGTTAATATTAAGCTACACCTAAGTGGAAATGTGCTCCAGGGTAATAGAGAATAGATAATAGATAGGAGAGCACAAAACGCAAAATTCAGCTAAGTATAAACTTTACAGTCAAGTAGTAAGTGACAGACCGAAGCTGACGAGACAAATTGCGCTGGGAAAAGATCAGATCAAGAGCGAGATGTTGAAAATTGGAGGAGTCAACAAGTAAGTGTCTTGAAGAAGAAAGGATTCAACAGTTTTCTTACTTAACATCATGAGAAAAAACGCTGAAGAATTTAAAGAATTAAATCCAGAAGCCTGATAGCCTTAATTGACCCTTATAGGAAGTGCGGAAAGTCTGTCAGAAGCTAAAAAGTTGATATCAATCATTGAAGTTTATATATAATAACAACTACGACTATTGTGGATTTAATAGATATTGAACTAACTACGATATTACTCATGTTCAATTATTATTATTTCTGCTTGTTTTCATAGCGCGCCCCATTAACTCTCTAATAATGGTGTGAAAAATAACTATAAAATAGGAAATCTTGATTCATTCATCCAACTTCCTTATCGCAATGAGAAAATATTTATTGATACTTAAAAGAAAGTGAATCTTTTTATTTATATAGGTATATTTTTTTATAGCTTCAAAGATTGATTTTCTCCTACGACAATGATGCACTTCTAGCTTTGCATAATTACGGGTATCATGCCATGGTCAAGATAATGGACACGCGTGACTAGTAGTAGCTCTGGTAAAATGCGTACATGGTCGTGTGTTACGTCATGTCGCCCATATGGGAATGGCCACGAGTGGCGAGAAGAATAGTACCGCATAAATGAGCTTTTTTGATAAATCCGAACAACGCCACTGCGTTCATAAAATGTGTAATAATAAATTTAAGTGAGTATTAAACGGTTTTGCTAAAAGCATACGTGACCGCTAGCCGAAGTTTGATGTTTATGGCTAAAAAAAAATACTTACGGTGGATAGTTTTTCAATTTCTTTGTCGGAAGCGCCCAATGAAGCTAAGCCGATTTCTTGCGAAAATTGGGCGAAGCTTGGATCGGCTAGTAGAGGCATGTGTCCAAGGATTTCGTGGATTGCATCACTAGAAAATAAAGAAAAGAGGATTATTAAAGTGTATCAAATTATCAAATATTCGTTAATATTTTCGCTAAAACTTAAATATTTTTACTAAAGAAGGTGCAGGTATTATTATTGTGTATATGTTCAATTAAAGTAACTAAGGCTTGAGTTTTTTACTAGTTACTAAAATCCCCTCTCACAAGAAAATTCAGACAACTTCGTACTTGGAGGAAGCTATTTTACTAAAAACTGAACACAGCATCTTCTAAAAACTTGCGACGTCATCTTATTGAAAAGTGAAGATGAAGTCTTTTTGCGAAAACTGATGACAGATTTTTACTAAAAACTGATATCGGCTTCTTTGGAGACCCGAAAGCATAATTTTCAATTTCAGATTCAGATCCAGAAATGAGACAGTAAAGATGCTCTATATGTTGTTAACAAAGGAGGAAAGACCTAAGAGAAAATTGATATAATATCACCAAACGTATGACAAGAAACAAAAAAGACTACTTTCCAGTTAAAAGAAGACTTGGTTTTGAAGATGTCTTAATTACACAGATACATCTCAGGCATTGAAACCTTGAAGCAAACTCAGTTTCAAGTTGTTTGACAAGAAAGTGAAGCTTCAGTCCCATAAATTACACGTTCGTGGAAGAGAATGTTGAAGCTCACCAGAAAAAGGCCTGCAAGACGAATCAGAAGTAAATGTCATAAACAACGTCGATGATAGATTGAAACTAGCAAAGAAGAACATAACAGAGAGGAGGATAGGATAGGAGCTGAAACATATTGAAACTGATGAGAAAAAGAGAAAGACTTCTAAGCTCAAAGTCACATAAAAGAATGAAGGCCTCAAATACCAATAGCCAAAACTCCATGAAGATGGAACAGAAGAAATGAACAAGAATACAATTGGTTCATGTGTGGAGATCTCTTATCGTGACCTATATAGATCAAAGCAATGTCTAGAGAAAAATGGAAAATGTCAGTTTCAAAGACATAGGCAAATTGGACACCTTCTTTCGGTTCTTCCTATCAGAAACAGGAAATGCTCCATTGAAAGAAACAGAAGGCAGACAAATACGAACTTCTAGAAACTGAAGATACCTTCTTAGTGGAATCTTAATCAGAAACCTAGAAACTGAATAAGTACTTTGCACAAGTGATTTTTGCAGATTTTAATCATTTTTGCATGCATTAACGTAGGGAAAAGCTTCCAAATTTGATTTGTAGCTTCAAATCAACTTCAAATTAACTTTTTTACAAAGAGTAAACTCAATTCTTAAATCCTGAAAGATTCAAGTAACTGTGATCATTGGAAGTATTTTGCACAAGTTATTTTTGCAGATTTTAATCATTTTTGCATGCATTAATGTAAAAAAGAGCTTCCAAATTCTGTTTACAGCTTTAAATCAACTTCAAATTAACTTTTACAAAAAAAGTAAACTTCAATTCATAAATCCTGAAAGTTTGAAGTCACTGTGATCATTAGAAGTACTTTGCACAAGTGTTTTTGGGAGATTTTAATCATTTTTGCATGCATTAAACGTAAGAAAAAGTTTCCAAATTCAGTTAAGAGCTTCAAATCAACTTCAAATTAATTTTTTCATAAAGAAGAAACATCAATTCATGAATCCTTGAAGTTTTAAGTGACTGTGATCATTAGAAGTACTTTGCACAAGTGATTTTTGCAGATTTTAATCAATTTTGCATGCAATAATGTAAGAAAAAGCTTCCAAATCTAGTTTGAGGCTTCAAATCAACTTCAAATTAATTTTTCCACAAAGAGGAAACTTCAACTTATAAGTCCTGAAAGTTTCAAGTCACTGTGATTATCAGAGGTATTTTGCACAAGTGATTTTTGCAGATTTTAATCATTTTTGCATGCATTAATGTGAGAAAAAGCTTCCAAATTTAGTTTAAGGCTTCAATTCAACTTCAAATTTATTTTTCCACAAAGAAAAAACTTCAACTCATAAGTCCTGAAAGTCACTGGGTTCATTGGAAGTATTTTGCACAAGTGATTTTTGCAGATTTCAATTATTTTTGCATGCATTAACCTAAGAAAAAGCTTCCAAATTTAGTTTGAAGCTTCAAGTCAACCTCAAGTTAACTTTTCCACAAAGAAGAAACTTCAACTCATAAATTCTGAAAGTTTCAACTCACTGTGATTATTGGAAGTCCTTTGCACAAGTGATTTTTGCAGATTTTAATAATTTTTGCATGCATTAATGTAAGAAAAAGCTTTCAAATCTAGTTTGAAGCTTCAAATCACCTTCAAATTAACTTTTCCACAAAAAGGAAACTCCAATTCATAAATCCTGAAAGTTTCAAGTCACTGTGATCATTAGAAGTACTTTGCACAAGTGATTTTTGCAGATTTGAATCATTTTTGCATGCATTAACGTAAGAAATAGTTTCCAAATTCAGTTTAGAGCTTCAAATCAACTTGAAATTAACTTTTTCACAAAGAAGAAGCATCATTTCATTAATCCTTGAAGTTTTAAGTGACTGTGATCATTTGAAGTACTTTGCACAAGTGATTTTTGCAGATTTTAATCAATTTTGCATGAATTAACGTAACAAAAAGCTTCTAAATTTGATTTGGAGCTTCAAATCAACTCCAAGATACCTTTTCCACAAAGAGAAAACTTCAGTTCATAAGTCCTGAAAGTTTCAAGTCACTGTGTTCATTGGAAGTATTTTGCACAAGTGATTTTTGCAGATTTTAATCATTTTTGCATGCATTGATGTAAGAAAAAGCTGCCAAATCTAGTTTGAAGCTTCAAATCAACTTTTTCACAAAGAGGAAACTTCAACTCATAAGTCGTGAAACTTTCAAGTCACTGTGATTATTGGAAGTATTTTGCACAAGTGATTTTTGCAGATTTTAATCATTTTTGCATGCATTAACGTAAGGAAAAGCTTCTAAATTTGATGTGAAGCTTCAAATTACCTTTTTATCCGAACCTTAAGCCAGTTTTCACGAGAAACTGATGACAACAACCGCTCACTATTAACTGAGCACAGCTACTTACTGGAAAGAGTAAAGAACTTCCAGAGAACTGTAGACAACTTTCTATGAAAAACTGATCATCTAAAGACAGCTTGTTTCTAGAAACTGAGGAATTCTTCTTACTAAAAACTGAAGTTTTCTTGGACCTTCAAAGGCGCCACACCCCCTGCATGAAAATTGACAAAAGAGCTTATAGAGGAACGCAGGAAAACAGCGAACGACCTCAGAAATTCGAACCGCTCTGTTTTCCAAACAGAAATGGCAAACTTTTGGAAAACCTAATCTTATCAAGATCCTGAGGTTCGGAAAAACTGTGCGAACAACAATAAGGGGAGATCCAACATTAAGGCAACATGAAAGGCCACAGAGGTGTTAGAACGGGTATATCTAAAAGAAGTCACATATGCCTTGATATCAAACATCCCCTTGCAACTTCGCATCAAGGCAGATGGAGAAAAGCGGTTCCTTATTTAATAAATCTCACTTTACAGATAGATCTATCTTCGTGGAAGCGAAAGGCAAGAAGGTATATGCTCCTTGCTTCAGTCTGAGGATAGTTTCTCACTAGAACCTGGAGACACCATCTTATAAGAAACTTAAGACAGTTTTCTACCAGGAACCGGAAATGCTTTTGTACCTACCAGAAACAGAAGGCAGCTAAAACTAAAGACATCTGCTTGCTAGAAAGTTAGTTTAATACGCTATCTCACTAGAAACTAGAGACAATTCCTTTGTGAAAGTTGAAAGTAGACATCTCTTTCTAACTGGAAACCTAATACCTAATTTTACAAGAAATTGAAAACCATGATTTTACTAGGAACTCAAGCAACACATTCTATATTATTGTTTGTATAGCTATAAAATATGATTTTTTGTTCCAAAAGAAAATGTACAGTAAATCTTTAGTAAATTGCCTCAAGAATTGAAATATATTCGTTCCTTTTTTTCGATTAAAAATCTTAAGCTTCTTTAAATCCCAATAGACATTTTGCCGTTCGGTAAAACCCAGTAAATGCAATTAAATTCTAAAGCAGGCTTACGTTGCCTCTTTTATTTCATCCAATATCGAAAAGGACATATTTGATCTGCCCAATAAACCGAAACACCCGGTATTTAATTTTATCAATTTCCCTTTTGGCGTCAATGTCGCAGGGCGAGAATATCCATCAAAGTACTTTAATAATTCAATTTTAAAGTCCATTATCACTATATAGAGGCGCCTATAATTTTCCATTAAGTTCACACCAAATTGCACGTGGCATTTTTTTTTTTTAATTAAAATAATGTTACTTACGGTTCTGGAGTGTGGAAAGGCGAATTGATGTGACGAATGTACTGAGTACTCTGGAAAATTCTGAAAGCGAGCGAAGCCAAAAAATCTCTGGCCGTCAGCAGACCGGCGGCCGGTCTCAGAGTGAATCCGGTGTGTTTTTGCATGAACTTGGACATTTCTTCAAGTTGAGGGATTTTGTCCGGAACGAAAAGTCCTTCTTCTTGGAGTAGTTTGAATACGCGACGGTATTCTGCGCAAGCGTGCTTCGGCATCAAGTCCAAGACGGTGGTGAATACTGATTTCCATGTTTTGTTTTCGGTTTCGGTGTATGGAATAAACGGAACTGGATCTCCACTATTAGGGAAAAAAAATATTTGTTATTGAATTATTGCAATAAAAAAAAAAGACTTACTATTTGTAGCCAAAAGCAATTTCAGCAATCTGCTTCCTTCTCTCCCTATAAACCTTATCAGCAAATCCAGGATGGTTCATATCCAAATCAGGTTCATACTTGGTCATCAAATGGTTACAACTGTCCAATTCGCTTGCGTGTCTTGGGAACCACGGGTTCTTAGCGGAAATGTTATCGTCGCCGATCAAAGTGGCGTGTTCCAAAGTTTGCGATTGCCTCAAGTTCTTCAAAAGTTGCAGCATATTGATTCTGCTCATGTCGATTTTAACGAGAGTATCCAGTTGGGTTTTTACCGCCACATTGGGACGAGTTTCCAAGTGTACGACGACACCCTGGTACTTTTCGATCGACTTGAGTACTCGGGACAGGGAGCTCATGCCTTCTTTGAGATGAAGAACCAGAGCGGCCCTTTGAATGGCCTTTTCGGATTCCGGATCGTCGGAGATGGCGTTGGCCAAAACGACTTCCTCTTCGGTAAGACCAGTGTCTGGAAAATAAAAATGACGTTTTTGAAAAGTTTCGTAAAGACTAGAATGTTTTATGAATCGCGCAGCATTTCAGCTAATCTAATAATGATGGTCAAATCATACCAAAGACCTCACAGGCAAAACTAAGCAAAAATACTGAAATATCAACAGAGAAATGTCAGAAGGAAGTTTTAATAGGAGAAATGAGAATGAAAAATCAAGGAAATTGAAGAAAATAACAAGAGTGTGAAGCAGAACGGCGTTAGGAAAAAAAAAGACGTACCAACATAAGATCAAACATCCAGATGACATGGCAAAGAGTTACTTTCGAGGGAAAATAAAGAGACCCAGACTCAATATCGCAAAGTCTCGAACCCAGGATTTGGAGAAGTACCTGAGAAATAGGATCAAGAATTGAGAATGACTTTAAGAGTCCTGAGGCTCTGAAATAATGGAGAAGGCTCCTGTGAAAGATAAAGTGACGATAGAAAGTACATTACATCATCAATTATCTAGAAATGTTATTCTACAAATGCGTGTTAGAAGAAACAAACCAAAAACTAATAAGGAAACGCAATAATCGTCATAATAAAGAGACCTAGACTGATATCTAAGGATGTGAAATGGCGGTCATTTATTTGTTGTGATAGGTGACAGTCATTTTTTTTGTAATTTATGTCATTTATTGTCATTTATGGTCATTTACCTTCAATGTTGATATAAGCACCAGATAAGTGATTAAGCCCGGACTTACAGAAGCTCTGCAACACCAAAATACAAATGCAGGACCTGCAAGTCTGACTTTTCGTATTACAGAAGCAGAATGCACTTGCAGATCACCTGCAAATTTGCGCATGGTGAAACGGTCCCGTGAGTCCTTGCAATCACTTCGACAACTTTAATATTTAAAACGGGTAAATCAGTAGCGCCCAAACACTTTTTTTCCATAAATATGACGGAATTGCAGATTTTTTTCTGTAATTTGCTCGTTGCTGCAAATAGAGCACATATGCAAGTCAGCCATATTTGCAGAACTGCAAATTTGCAGATGCAAATATACTGTAATTGGGCCCTAAATCATTAAAAAATAGACATAAGCTATAACGAAAATTAATTGGAATACGTAATAAGTACCATCGTCACCAAAAGTATCTGGGATGAAAATAATTCATATAATCTACTGGACTTATTCTACCATCATTCATTAAATTCATAGTTTGACTACTATTTCACACTAAAAATCATATAATAGTACAAGAAGATGATCGTATTCCCTATTCCCCATTTGTAACCTATGTATCTCAAGAATATCTCTCTCTCTCTCTCAAGAACTTCTGTGATCTGCCATGTACTTTCAAGTATGCCGATTTTCTTCAGTTGACAGTGATTCATAGAAAACAGGTTGAGGTGTTGTTATGACAAAATTATGCTCTCGTTTCTAATATTTGACCATCCATCACATTGAATACCAAGAACTTTGGCATTTGTTAAATTGTTTGTTACTTATAAATAAACTTGCTCATACACAGTGTTCAAAAGTGTATTCGAAAAAATGAAACGTGAGGCCAGAGAAAAGGACGGTCTGATTTTTTTTAAAAGTTGTACCCAATATGTATTCTCTCACCAATCAGATTTCGTTCTGATCGTCAGGTTTAATGTTGTCAATAAAAATGCTTATTGAACTACTTCGACAATTAATTCTCTGAATATTACATGAAGTTGAAGGACTTGATGTGGTCTTTATCCCTTCCTCTTCTGCCCCTGCTTGTGATTGGGATACAGATACCTCCACCTGAGCCAGAGACACTTATTCTTCATTTTTACGTTTGTTGAGGTTTTGGTTTTGTATCTCTCTTTGATTGAATTTCCTTCTCAACATAGTTTTTATCATATCGGGGCATCCTAATTGCATGATGTGTCACTTGCTTCTTGCAAAACTTGCATTCAAAACATTTGTCCAGATTTAACTATACTACTAAATTATTTGCAATGCTCCTGTTCCTACCCATTCTACGTCCACACAACAAAAAACAGGCACAATACTGTTCAAAACACGCAAACGCAGCTGAACAACTGACTCGCACAGGCGCACAAGAAACCGTCCGCCATTCAATTGAACACCGAATTAAGTATGCTGTAGCTTGTCTTAAGCAGTGAAAATCGAAAGTCAGCTAGGCTGGGACTCTGGAACGAATAGAGATATTTTCTCTATCTCTATTGATATCGAAAAGAGAGAAGAACATAGCAAGTGCCATAGCGATGGGGATAACGATCTCTATACGTTACAGACTGATATTTTTGTGACACTGTCATATATTTTAATGACGGCAATTATGACGGTCATATATTATGTCTGCTCAGACTGAGTTCAGAATCAGCTCTGAATTAAACTGTGCTTGCGCATTTGTTTATATCAAACATAAATAAACAAATGCGCGAGCGCAGTTCATCCAGAATTAATTCTGAACCAAGTCCGAACAAACCTATTTTAATGACGGTCAGAATGACGTGACCGTCATTTTCATTTTGACTATGACATGACATTGTCAGAAAAATTCCCTATTGATATCATCCAAAGTCTCGAACTCAGGATTCGGAGGAGCACCTGAGAAATAGGATCAAGGAATGAGAATGACTTTAAGAGACCTGAGGCTCTGAAATAATGAAGAAGACTCCTGTGAAAGATGAAGTGATGATAGAAAATATATTACATCATCAATTCTCTATGAATGCTTGTTAGAAGAAACAACCCCAAAACCAATGAAGAAACGCAATAATCGTCATATTAAAGATTCCTAGACTGCTATCACCCAAAGTCTCGAACCCAGGATTCGGAGAAGTACCTGAGAAATAGGATCAAGATATGAGAATGACTTCAAGAGACCTGAGACTCTAAAAGTATGAAGAAGGCGCCTGTGAAAGATGAAGTGAGGATAGAAAGTACATTACATCATCAATTCTCTAGAAATTCTATTCTATAAATGCCTGTTAGAAGAAGCAACCCCAAATCCAATGGGGAAACGCAATAATTTTCGTCATAATAAAGAAAACTAGACTGATATCACCCAAAGTCTAGAACCTAGAATTCGGAAAACACACCTGAGAAATAGGATCAAGAAATGAGAATAACTTTAAGAGACCTGAGGCTCTGAAAGAATGAAGAAGGCTCCTTCTGTGGAAGATGAAGTGATGATAGAGACTACAATTACATCATAAATTCTCTAGAAATTATATTCTATAAATACGTGTTAGAAGAAACAACCCCAAAACCGATGGGAAAACGCAATAATCGTCATAATAAAGATACTAATAACACCCGAAGTCTCGGACCCAGAATTCGGAAAAGCACCTGAGAAATAGGATCAAGAAATGAAAATGACTTTAGGAGACCTGAGGCTCTGAAATAATGAAGAAGACTTCTGTGAAAGATGAAGTGATGGTAGAAAATACATTACAGTCATGACATCATCAATTCTCTAGAAATTCTATTTTATAAATGCATTTTAGAAGAAATAGCCCCAAAACTAATGGGAAAACGCATTAATCGTCGTAATAATGAAGAGACCTAGACTGACATCACCCAAAGTCTCGAACCCAGAATTCGGAGAAGCACCTGAGAAATAGGATCAAAAAATTAGAATGACTTTTGAGGCTCTGAAAGAATGAAGAAAGCTCCTGTGAAAGATAAAGTGATGATAGAAAGTACATTGGTACATAATCAATTTTCTAGAAATTCTATTCTATTAATGCGTGTCAGAAGAAACAACCCCAAAACAATGGGAAAGTGCGACATGTTGCCAGAAATGAGGATATCAATTATCAGCTGGACGAAGTGGATCATAAAGTGGCAACCCATATCAGACCGACCCAGAAACAGAATCGCTGGATACTGGATACTGATAACTCAGGATAGAATTAGAATGGAATGAGCTGAGGTGGAAGGTGAATATCGTCGGCATCATATGAAAATTGCCAAAGTCCAATTTTTTTCAAAATTAGGATTTTAGTGCAGTCTTGTGAGAAACTCAATAATCTATGATCCAACAAAATATTCGGGCAATTAATTGTTAGACGGAACCATACAACCATGAAAAGAAATTTGCACAAGTCCGCCATCGTCTCAAGACAGAGTGAAACTTGCGTAAGTCCAATCTCTTCTATGCATTCTTGCCGGTGATTTGTATCATGTAGTTTTTCTTTACAAAGGTTTTTTGCTCCTTCTGTAAAATTTACCTTTTTGGATTAAGGCAATTTTCATATGATGCCGACGATATGTAGGATAACCCTACAAGAAGCTTCGAAGGCATACCAAGAACGTATACATGTAAGTAATTAGAAGAAAATCATGTGACAGCTAGGAAGAGTTATGGCACCAGTCCTAAATACATTATTAGAAATTAATTTAAATTATTATTATGCTTCTATTTTCATATTTTAATGGACTACAATCATAGCAATACTAATCGCGGGAGCAAGGATAAATGTTAGGTAGGTACCTATCTAATACCTATATTTAAAGTTTTTATTATGATTACACGGATTACTGCGTGATTATTATCATTATTATTTTATTCTAAGGAAGTCGATTATCATACATGACAAATAATTACAATAAAACAACTATTTTGTAAAAAGACTGCCACTATTGTACTGGAGCAAATCTAAATTGCATGCTGCAGTAGTCAAATGTGAAACAATATTGTCTCAAAACAAAATCCAACTACATATCAAATTCGCCAATTAATCGCGTTCAATGTCAAAAATAAATAATTAATATAAACAAATGATAATTCAAACAAAATCAGTAAAAAATCAAAGCCCGAAGGTTTCCCGTAGCGTAGCGTATCGTATCTATGAAAGAAATCTTGTTCTTCAATGGCAAATTAACATAAATACAAAATAAATAAATTCATGTAACGTTGGCTTAAGCGCAAAGATTATTAGACCGAGACTGAGATTTTACTCCGGCAACCTTCTAATTAGAACTTGACACTACATTGGGGATTTGTTTTGACATTAGAACTGATTTAGTATTATGAAAGGCTTTTTAAACCACTTCCTTATGCTGAAAACAAAATTATTTTATTCAGGGGATGAGGGCAATCAATTATATAGTCATCAAGTTCCATGTGATGCTTGTCAGGATATGGCGATTACATTAATAACTGGGGCCAGCGCCAGCAATAAAAAAAATAAAAGAACACGTTTTAACACTCACCCGAGGGAGTATATACAGTTCAACTTAATCTGTCACAATCATTCATAGGTTTAACAGCAAAATCCTCAAATTATGCCAGTGGCTTTCGTAAAATATAAATTTTTCGCTTTCTGAGAGAGTGCCTCTTCCTTCTGCAACTGGTGAAATGGATTGTGAAAATTGACTTTTGAAATTACTTGAAAGCTTTTTTCGGCCGATACAATTACCTTATTATTGCGTCGCTTTTGACCCAATTTATCGATATAGAATTGAAAATTTGTCTCGAATTTATTTATAAATAAAGTGCATTTGACATATTCAAGTCATAGTATGTATTTTTTTCCGTTTACTATATCGTTTACAAGTTTCTTATAAGGATTCCATGGACATTTGCATCGGTACTGACCGTACACTAATTATATATGTCTTTCCTTTTACGTTTTATCCGATAAATAATAATTAGATTAATTTAATTTTTGCTTACCATCTTTGTTGGTATTTTCCTCAGGCAGCTGGTTGGCTTGTTCGTTTTCGAAATCGGCGTCTACGCTAGAGTCTACGAGAAATAAATGACGTGCAAAAATAATCATGCAAACAAAATAGAATAATTAAAATTAAATTGTGAAAAAAGTAAATGTGTTGCAAATGAAGAGTAAATTTAAAAAAAAATAAAGTTGTTGAAATAGAACAACAGAAACTAAAGAGTTTCGAATTTGGAAACTTATGTAGTACTTAGTAGAATATAGTTCTGCAAATGCTACCCCGAGAAAGAATATCGTGAAAAATAAAAGTTAAACAACAATTTTCATTAAATTTTAAAGAACAATTGTCGCAACATTCACCAAAAATTGGCAATCTAATTAGTTGTTTTAGAATTTGCCAATAGCAATAAACAGCTTAGGTATTTAACTTGGATGAATTAATAGTTTTCAAGATACATTTCAGTGGAAATGGAAAATTTGTATCTTAGAAACTATAACAGGTATTGGCTGTATTCTAATTGTCTTATGTAAAGAATTTCCTCCTCTTTCAAAAATAAAAATGATGAGAAAAGTTTTAATTTAATCAAAACTCATCATTATCCACATCAGAGAGCCATATTTGCTTAGTGCTAGACATAGTAATGTATCTTATCAGGTTGGTAGAGAGTTTTGGTTTATAAGATTGTATCACCTGGACTTACCCAGACATTACACAGACATCTTGAAGATGCCCACAAACGACAGTATTTTGGACGTCTGCTTACGACATGTCAAAGAAGTCGTATGTTACAAAACCCAACGTCGTTCAGATGTCTGCCTAAAGACGTCTTCAGGACGCTAGGCTTCAGAGAAATCGGTTCAAAAGAGTACTAAATTCTGAAAAGTTTCCAGTTCTAAATTGAATCCTAACTGTTCTAAAATAACTCTGAGGTTTTTAAATTGTTCCAAAATGATCCTGAAAATTCTGATTTGAACTTGAACTGCTCTGGATGCTTATTTAAGGTCTAAATTTCTACAACAATCTTAAATGTTTCTGGAGATTCTAGAGTGTTTTAGTGTTTTAGAGGGTCCTAAAATGGGTTTCAAACTTGTGAATTGTTTTGAAAATCAATTTTTGAATGTTTTGGGGCATTCTAAAATGGTTATGAAATTTCAGAATTGAATTTTAAGTGTTTTGAATTCGGAAGTGTTCTGTTGCATTCTAAATGGTTTCCAGTAACTTCTAAATTGAATGAAAAATGAATTCGTGAGAAATTGACATGGAGACATCTTAAAGATGTCCCTAAGATATCCAAAAAAGACATATAAGACGTTAAGCTCAAGGCGTTTTAAAGACATCTTGAAGACGTATGGTATGTTGAAAAACACAACGTCTTTCAGACGTCTTTAATACTAAGAAGATGTCTCAAAGACGTCTTTGAATTTCTTTCCAATACATAAATCATTATTAACTTTTAGGCCTGGTTGTATCAAAAAGTTTTCTCCGAGATGTGAATTTACGACATCTTAAGGACGTCTCTAAAACAACATCTTCTAGACGTCTTTTTTTGGTCTTCAGACGTTCAGATCTAATGCAGACCTGAAAAAAACGTCTTCAATCTTTGGAAAGGTAATTTTTGCAGTTTTGCCGAGAGTATTGTTATGTAATACACTCAATAGTAGAGGATAGCAAAGACAAACAACTAGTTGAGCTGAGACGTCTACAAAGAATGTTAGATGCAGAAATACTAAGCAAATCATTCTATAGAAGCTGGAAGAAAGAATAAAGAAACCAACTTTACTATATAGGCCTGGATAACGTAACATACGGAGTCTTAGGATTTATAAAGACATTCAAAACTGTTCCTTAGAGAGATGAATACATCATCCTGACATCACCTAGCCATGACGAAGATCCAGCAAATTTCCTCGAAGAACTATCAAGAGCAATAGATAAAAGTTCCAAAAAGGGGTAGAGCTCTCACCAATTAAAAGCGCGAGGAGAAAAATTCTGAAGCTCACTTGAAACAGGCATGACAGAAGAATCAGAAGTAGATGACATTAAGAAGATCAATGATCAATGAATCATCACTAGAAGATAGAGTGGCAGCTGGAATGTGGAAAGAAGGAAAAAAGAGGTTATTTTATCCACAGTAAACATGTCTAGCTTCGTAGATCTGCACCTTTATCAAAGATGATAGGACTGACATCAGAAACCATCATCCCATGCCGTTATTATCTAAAATATACCTACAAGATGTTTGACAGAGGCAGCTACAGTCTACAGCTTCAGTCATTCTGACCATCTCTTCACTATAAAAATTCTACTAGAAAATGCCCACGAATATCATCTTCGTTTCTCACTTTCGTGAACTATAAGAAGATTTTCGATAGGAAAGAGCCATTAAAATGTAATGGAAAGCTATTAATTGACTCACCATAAATACAGCTTATATATAACATCCGCAGAAATGTTACATTGAAAGTACAGCTGAGCTGGAAGAGAACACCAATCCATTCGAATCAGGAGAGGAGTCATTATCATCGGAACTGATAAAATATCACCAGTAGGTATAAGAATTAGAGCCAGTTCATTCACCTGATAAACTGTCAGGTAATGCAATCTGACGATAAAGACGCAATCTGCATTTGGTAAAATTATCTTCCAGCAAGTTTATCTAAAGATAAATAAACCGGGCCTTTAGCCGGATAATTGAATTAAAGAGTCATCTTCGGAGTTATCAACAACTCATGATTCCACCTCCAAGGACTGAGTTGATTTCGATAATCAATACAAACCATAAGAAATCGGAAATAACTAGTAGTAGAAGTATTTTATAATATCAGATGTTTCTTGCATAGAAGAGGTAATAATTTTAAAAAAGCCAGAATAAAAGACTAACAATTAAATTCTTGAAACAAGATTTGGTAAGATAGGCCTGGCCTGGCCAAAAGAAGGACGACTGATTCAAGAAAAGTTTAATTTTTTAGGCCGTTAATGTAGATGATTCTTTTGGGAGGATGGATTAAAATTGAAAACCATATCTTCATTTTCTATTAAAGTCAAAAACCCTTTCTAGATTTACAGGTCTTTTGCAAGTTTTTTCTCTGAAAAGTGTTTTATTTTTACCAATTTCCCGGAGCTAGCAATGCAAAATCATATTCTACATATTACTGTGTTGGTACAAGAATTTTCAAAATTTTTCAACAAAAACTAGAACACATGCGTTTTAAACAACAAATTAATCGGTAAATTGCTTACCATTGGACCTGAGCCTGGCCTCGTCTAGTACCGTCTGTTTCGTCTGTTTCACGACCAAAGTTTCAAACCTGGCGTCATCAACGAGAGATCTACGCCTGGCCGGGTATCCATTCTGAAAAAAAAAGAATTTTGAGAAATCGTATACCCACTATAAACTAAATTACAATAATGATCAAAGTCAATCCTATCTCTTTTGACTTAACCTTGCCTCGAGGTACCACTTCCTCATACCCTTTATCAAGGTCAAACTGGTACCGACCAAGCCCCCTAACAGTAAGTACCACTCTAATTGCCAATTAATGATTAGACATTAGCATTGCTGATATACTTTATTATGTAAAAATAATGTAATATGTGGGAGTGATTTTTGACGTCAGAAAAATCTTAAATGAAATCTTTCCCCGGTGTAAGCTCAACAAGCCCTTTTTACGTTTATTAGGATTAAAGTTAATTCGCTGTATATATCAAAGAATGAATTGTCAAGTGCAGAAAAGGCGCGTAAGCTCGAAACGGAGCTGCGGTTTCCGCTAAATAACGAGCTTCCTTTTGATTTTGAGAACTTCCTACCCAGAAACGTTTGAGTCTTTTATTTTAGGAAAAAAAATCTTATAGTCGAAAGTTCGAAACTTAGGAAAACTAACCAAAGTGGGTAGTTAACGGCTTCATTAAAAACCGTATAAGAAAAATTCACTGAAAAAAATAATTGAAATTATTGTAGATGAAAACTTGAATATACTCAAAAATAAGAGAATCTGCAGCTTCTTTGCACTGTGTCTATTGATCATTCCGTGTTATCCACAGGAGTGTCGAAACGTTGGTTTTCACTTGAATGACTATTAAACATGGTCCAAAGAAAACAAATAACAAGCTCGAGTAGATATAGAAGCATTGGAATATTGGAAAAGAAAATGCTAGTATCATCCTTAAGTCTACAAGACTACAGAAGTAGAAAAACTATTTGAAAAAAAATCTTCTACTGAATTTTTTTGTAAGCACAAGAGAATTGAAAAACTCATGTCAGCTCAAAAGAAAATCTTTAGTTGTTTGAATTGAAGAAAAGTAATCAAAGAAATTCCAATTCTTACCTCAATGCTATAGCTCTTTTTAATAGCGAACATTTCCCTATTTTTTTGGGCGGCGGACACTTCAGTCATCCTGGAGAATTTTTTTTTTTATTCACTTGATAACCCGGAACTTTTTATTGTAAGACCACAACTTTTACCTATAAGAAGTCTGTCAGGTCGTGAAACTTAAAAGTACCAACCTCAACCTGAGCAGGCTCTAGGTGGAATAATGCCGTCAAGTAATTGTTTGACAGTTTTATGGATCGAGATAAGTGGTGGGGGAATTGATTCGTATTCGGTCAATGCGCATGACAAAGGTTTTTTTGTATTTTTTTTTTTGCCTTTCTAATGCGTATAGGATCTTGAATAATTCGGCTCTAGTAACGTAACATGTTCAAATTATACTATGAGATAAATCTTATATATTTTGACAGGTTCGCGTAATATTTTTGTATCTCAATTTTACGTATTCGTACATGAATTAAAACACCTATTTTTTTTTTGCTTGAATGAAATGAAGTTCAACAAATTTTTGTGGGAGATCAACATTCAACATGAGAAAATGATAAAGACCAATCGATTATTTGAATTGTTTGAAAGGTTTAAAAAAATCAAAACTTACCTCAACACTGTAGCTTTTCGTAATAGCAAACATTTCTCTATTTTTCTGACCAGCAGTAACAGCAGCCATCTTCCGCTACAATACTTCACAAATCAAAAACTCACAAAAAAAATAAATTGCACAAGAAAAGAAAAAAATGCACTAAGTACTTCGACCCAAAAATTGATTAGTTTTCTTCGACCACAATTGGTATTAAAACCAAACGTCTGTCGAATAACGAAAAAAATTTCTCTGGTCTGCGAGGAGGCCGTGAAACACCTTCGCAACCTCTGTCAACGGTTGTGTTATGAATGTGAGTCTGGACACCCTTTTTGATGACTTTTATTTGAGATTTCGGGGGAGTTGGAAGTCCCCCAGGAGGCGAATTTGGTGGGGGTCAACCGGGGTGCAAGATGCCACACGCCGCTGCTGCTGCTGCGAACGCGGTGCCGAAGAGTGGACCGCGATGACTCGACCGATATTTGGTAAAACCAGGCCGGAGAACATTGTTTATTAGACACAAAATGCGTAGGAATTCTTTTTAATCGGGTTTTTCACTAATGAAAAATGTGTTATTTGTCTCCAAAGTTATCAGTCTTCGCACAAGTTACCAAATAAATCATCTATGAGGGAAAATACAGATACTGATAATAAAATTCATAGTGGAAAAAATACATCAATCATCAAGGGTTTCAAAATTCACCTTCAAAACTTGCAGAAGGAAACACTATTAATGTTCAGTTCTCTCAGAGAAAAGAAATTGTTATTGCCAACATTATCAAATCAAAAAAATAAGAAAATTTAGAATTTATTAGGTACATAGTAAGTAATAGCGTCATGAAAAACTTAAACCGTAGACTCCAAACCCGCAGACAGCACAGAGACATCTTAAAGACGTCCATAAACGATATTCGAGACGTCTTTAAGACGACTGTTTATCAAAGTGTTACTTGGCTTATTAAGTTTTGGAGAATTTAAGAAGTTTTTCAGTCATTTCTAAATTGTTTTGACAGATTTTTAAATAATTTAGAGCCCTATTGAAGCTCCAAAGTGTTCTAAATTGGTTCAAAAGAGTATAAACGGTTTCTAGTTCCAAATTGAATCCTAAGTATAATTGTTCTGAAGTTCCTAAATTGTTGGAAAAACATTTCTGAAGCAGCGTGGAAGTAATATCAACAAATCTGCATCATTTACGACAGATAGAGTTTCAATGTGGAAAAATTAGTCATTTTAAAAAAGATTCTAATGTAAACCATGATATGTCGGCATCGGAAAGATGTGGTTTTGTATTAAGAAGAAGCTTTAATAGAGCTGGTTTTTCGAGAGGTTTTAGTCAAAGAGGCTATAAATAATCGAGATGGTTATCGAGGTAATTCTAATGGGCGAGGTAGATTTCAAAGAAACAGTTACAGAAATAGAGGCATAGGCTTTCAAAATCAACATTATGAAAATGAAAAGGGAGGTCATCAAGGTAATTGGACTGAGCTAAATGTTGAATCCCAAGAAGATCCAATATGATTCATGACAAATAATAATGACAATGAAACTGTAAGTACCTACTAACATTGATGAACTTTTATTTTATATTGATTCAGGGTGCAGAGATCACTTAATTCAGTGATTCTCAAACTGGGTTCCGTGGAACCCTAAGGTTCCGCACAGGGGCAATTGGGCTTCCGCAAGCAGTCAATGAAACATTTAAAAAACCTACAAGTTTCTGTGATGGTAGTAATACAGGTTCCATTGACAACACCAGTGACGGTAGTTATCAGTTAACAAGTTCTGTTGTCTACCTGTTGTCTAGCTGTCCCTTGCATGTTGCATGGGACTTAATAAAACAGCACGAGTTAACACACACTAATAGTTATTTTATTTATATCCCTTGACGATATAAAACATGGTGTCAGGGTATTAAGTGCTTTTGGTGCTAGTTTGTTGTTACAAGTCAGTGAAAAGTTCGCTAGTGAACTGTTATTACGTTAATTGTAAAAAGCTACCTAGCCTAGAAAAATGGAGAGTTTATTTCGGCCCCCGGGGCTCCTTATTACTGATGGCAATATAGCCGATAATTGGAAAAGATTTGTTCAAAAATTTGATGTGTTCTTGAAGGCGTCTGGATTGGATAAAAAAAACGGAGGAAACTAAAGGGGCCGTTTACGAAATCTTGTAGGAGATAATGGGCTCGAGTTGTTTAATAGTTTTAAATTTACTGTGCAGGAACTAAAATCGCTAGTCAGTATAAAGAGAAAATTTCAGGAATACTGCTCGCCTCAAGAAAATGTGATTATTGAGCGGTTCAAATTCAGTAGTATTGGCCAAAAAGATGGTCAAACTTTTGATAGTTTCTTAACAGATTTAAGGAAAGCAGTGAAAACTACAGGATACTCTCAGCCAGATAAAATGATTATAGGGACCGTGTGGTCATGGGTATTTATGACAAAAATACTCAAGAAAGACTCCTGAGAGAGTCCAAGCTAACTTTAACCAAAGCAATTGATTTTTGCAGAGCCACTGAGGTTAGCAAAACACAGACCAAGATTTTGCAGAATGAATCACAAATTAATGCAATCAAATCTAGGAAGTATAGCTTCCAAAACAGTAAGAAAAGTAGTACCGCTAATAGTTCAAGTGGTAGCTCAAGGCATGGCCAAAATTTGTGCAAATTTTGCGGCTACAAACACATACTAAATGGTAAATGCCCGGCATATGGGAAAACATGTGCAGCTTGCCAAGGAAAAAACCATTTCGCAGTAATGTGTCCTGATGAAGGTTCTAGTAAGCCACACAAAAAATCTAGCGAAAGACAGTCATGGACGAAGCCTGTACACGAGCTGGAGAAAGAGCACACAACAGAAGGAAAAAGTAGTGACAGTTCTATTGAAAGTGAGTCTTTCTACGTGGACTCACTGTGTCGAGTTAGTTCTATGAAGTCTCGAATTATTGATAAGGTGATCAGTGAGTGCGACAGCAGAAACAATCAAACTGAGATGAAGAGTGACTGGAGACAAGTTGTGCAGATCAAGAACAAAAATCAGGTAGAATTTAAGCTTGACACTGGAGCTGAGGTAAGTGTTTTGCCTCTACATGTTCTCAGAGAGTTAAAAGTAAGTTCTCTTTTAAAACCAACCAAAGTAACCCTTGTGTAACATGGTTGTAGTGGTTTCAGAATAAAACCTCGGGGTGAAGTTAGTTTGTCTGCGAAGTCAACAACTGTAAAGCAACTCTTGATTTTTTAGTAATTGACTCCACTGACCAACTACCTTTGCTCGGGTTATCTGCTTGTTTAAAGCTGAGACTAATTAAAAGATTAGCTAGTATTAGTCCAGGACTCAATGTCAATTTCAAGTCTCTCGAAGATGTTCAGAAAATGTATGCTAGTGTTTTTGATGGTTTAGGCCAGTTCCCAACTGAGCATCATATTTCTTTGAAAAAAGATGCCGTTCCACATATTCAGCCTCCCAGGAGAGTTTCAGAGCATTGCATGATAGATCGAAATTGAAACTAGAGCAACTTGAAGTTCAAGGTGTAATTAAAAAACTTGACGAACCAACTGAGTGGCTGAATCCTTTAGCATAGTGGAAAAAAAATAATGGAGACTTGAGGTTGTGCCTAGACCCCAAGTATTTTAATAAGGCAATTCAGCGTGAACATTTTTTAATTCCCACTTCTGAGGAAATTGCTGTCAAATTATGTAATAAAGAATATTTTTCGGTGCTTGATATGAAAGACGGTTATTTCCAGATCAAAATTGACAATCAAAGCTCGAAGTACATAGCTTTTGGCACACCATTTGGGCGATTTGAATTTTTACGTTTACCTTTTGGCATTTGTTCTGCCCCGGAAGTCTTTCAAAGGAAAATATATGAAATATTTGGGGACTTGGGCGGCGTAGGGCTTTATTTTGATGATCTTATAGTTACAGGTGAAAATCAGTTCGAACATGATCATAATTTACATTTAGTGCTTGAACGGGCTCTAAGGTATAATATAAAATTTAATTCTTCGAAAATCCAGTTTAGATTGAAAAGTGTAAAATTTATGGGACAAATTTACTCAAAGGCGGGGGTAGAGCCAAATAGAAGTTATGTTAAAGCAATTCTTGATTTGCCAGAGCCAAAAAACGCAAATGATTTATTAAGGGGCCTTGGTATGGCAAAGTATTTGGTTAAATTTATACCAAATTTGTCAAAGATTACTGCTCCACTAATGGCTGTTTCCACCAACTATTTTAGGGAAGCCCTACGATAAGTATTCCCTAAATTGACATTTCTCCATGTAAAAATGTCATTTTAGGGAATACTTATCGTTAAGGCTCCCCTAAAATAGTTGGTGGAACTGGCCATAAGAGAGTTAACAAGACTGGATTGTGTTTGGAACTGGCAGGACATTCATGAACAATCTCTTTTTCAACTTAAACAACTTAAAGCCCGTACTAAAATTCTCTGATTCACAGAAAGAAATTGAAATAGAAACTGATGCATCAAAGGACGGTCTTGATGCCTGCCTCTTGCAGGAGGGATACCCTGAGGCATTCGCTTCACGAAGTCTCACTTCAACTGAACAAACGTACGCGCAAATTGTAAAAGAAATGCTTGCCATTGTTTTTGCCATCCAGAAATT